TGGACACGCCGTCTGAGCTGACAATATGACCCAAGTAACGGACGGAGTGTTGCAAAAGGTGGCATTTCTTAGGTTTAAACTTGAGGTCAGCCGCCCGCATTCTTGAAAAACCGTCTCTAGGCATTGGAGGTGTTCCTCGAACGTGCGGCTGAAGACAATTATATCGTCTAGATATATGAGGCACGTTTCCCACTGTAGTCCAGCCAACACCAATTCCATGAGCCGTTGAAACGTCGCCGGAGCCGCATTCAAGCCCATAGGCAACCGATTGAATTCAAAGAGACCTTGCGGCGTGCGGAATGCCGTTTTGGCTTTTGACTCGTCATCGAGGGAAGCTGCCAAAAGCCCGAGGACAGATCAAGGGTGGAAAAGAATTTAGCACCCGATAAAGCATCCAACGAGTCATCCATCCTCGGTAAGGGGTACGCGTCCGCCACCGAAATTTTGTTCAACCGGCGGAAATCAACGCAAAATCTTGTACCATCTTTTTTCTTAACCAGAACGACGGGCGCGCCCCAAGGGCTGTTGGACGGCGAAATAATATCCTCCGCCAGCAATTCATCTACTGCTCCGCGCACGTGTTCCCTTTCTGCTGGGCTCATGCGATGAGGGTGCATACAGATGGGAGGTGCCGCACCGGTGTCAATATGGTGCGACAAAAGCGACGTGCGGCCGAGGTCCAAATCATTTCTGCTGAAAACATCAGCGTACCGTAGCAATAGTGAACGCAGGGCATTCCTTTGTTCATTCGACAAGGAAGAATTTTCTCTGCATAAATCTGCGATCCAGCGTTTTTGCGAACGATCGTGCGGAGGCCCACCCGCGGGCATCCGGCGTGCGGCGTTTCGTCACAAGAGGCGAAATCGGTAGTGGCGTGAGCCAGCACCGATCCCTCCGGAACAACAACGCGGTCAGGTCCCCCATTCAACACCTGTATGAAAGGTGCCTGACCTGGTCGCACGATCGTTTGTGCCGCCGCCAAAGAGAAAGATTTAGATACCGAATTCGATGGGGATAATAGCACGCCCTTCGCATCCCTTCCCATTTGAAGGGGTTTTCGGTAACGCAGCGGAATGAGCATTTGCGCTCCCGACGGAACCTCCACCGTAGCAGCGACTACGGCAGTAACTGCGTTACCTGTAGGTGCACTGGCCAGCAGGGAAGGCAGGAACGCCATCCTATGACCCCCCGGCATTTCCAAACATCCTGGTCGACCCGTATTTTCAGCGGCATCCGCGCAGGAAATCAGTACCAAGCAAGCATGGGACAGCTAGCGAGCGAGAGATTAACACAGGTCCTGCGGCGGTAATATTTCCGATAGCGATGCTCA